CCCAGACCCGGAACGCCGACGCATCGCCAACCTTCCCCGTCCACAGCAGGGCTGGGGAGGTCTCCGGCCTGGAGACCCTGGGGTGGAGGTTGATCTGATGCGCCGCGTACCGAACCGCAAACGGCCACAGAAAATGGGGGGCAGCCGCATGCATCATAGACGTACGGGCGACGTCCATGACCATGCCAATGCGGCGCTCAGCAATCCCATTTTGCTGCGGTGAGTCCGGAAGCGTGAAGGTCTGACGGATGCCCCGTGCACGACAGTAGGCACGCAGAAGGCCAGAGGAGAACTCTCCGCCTCTGTCCGAGTGCAGACGCAGAACAGGAAAGTCCGAGCCGAAGCTCTGCCTGAGCTGGAGACGAGCTGCGCGGATCCAGTCGATCAGCACCTCAGTGACATCACCCTTGCTGCGCAAGGGGAAGACTGTGGTGTAACGCGAGTAGTCGTCAACAATGAGCAGGAAGTAGCGCTCGTGACCCTGTCCACGGACGCGGGCTGGGCCCCACACGTCCATGTGAAGTGTCTGCAACGGGGCCTCTGTCGGAGGAAACTGGGAGGAGTGAGGGGCAGCACGCAGGCGCCCCTCGACACAGGGGACACAGGCAGGGCCAGGGCCTTGAGGAAGGGGAGGGAGGGACCGGGGGAGACCGGACACAAGAAGACGGGAGGCCATACCTCTGAGCCGAAGCAGAGAGGGGTGGCCAAGGCGGTGGTGCCAGAGGAGAGTCTCGTGAGACAGGAGACGACACGAACAGGGGGCAGACTCAGGACCAGACCTGGACGCCGCAGCAAACACCTGACCCGACGTAACTACCCTACCAGACTCAGCAACTGGAGGAGACGCAGTGGTCAGAGTGTACAGGCTCGACCCCGGCTGACGGGTGAACGTAGCCAGGTGTCGGCCTGTGCCAGCCTCTGTACAGTGGGTCACTCTCTGACGTGCAGGAGTGAACTGGTGGACCCCCGCATCCTGTAGGTCAGCACCACTCACCAGGTTCGTAGAGAACGAGGGGAGGTAGAGACCAGACAGGGTGCCAGAGGGAGCCGCCGGACACGGGAGGACTGTGGAGAAGCGAGACAGGACAGGACCCCCAGAGGGGTCAGCCAGAGACACTGCAACCGGTCGACTCAGCGGTGTGAGTGTGGTGCGGTCCCGAAAGAAGGAGCGAGACGCCCCAGAGTCAAGGGTGAAGGTGAGGGAGGCCGAAGCCGACGCAGTACCTGAGAGCGCAGACTCACCAGTACCTGAGGACGCAGACACACGAGCACCTAGAGCAGCAGCGTCGCAAGCACCTAGGGCAGCAGCCTCACCAGGACCTAGAGCAGCAGTCTCAATGCCCGGATCGGGCGGGAAACACCGGTAACAGTCACCCTCATCACTAATAGACACAGCATACATGGCAGAGAGAATAGCATCAAAGTCAAGATCATAGATGGCAACACCCGCCCTAGACAGCTCGCCCCAGCGAGGGATCTCGGAGGCCTCCGGGAACTGGTGACACCACGCGTCCGTCAGGCGGCCAAAGCAGCGCTGGGAGGGGTGGGGACCCCCACACTGCTCACCCGCACGGTCGCCGGTGCGCAAAACGTAGGAGCACGGACCAAAACCCCCACCCCGCTGACGCGCAGTGTACCACTCACGAAGCTGCTGAGGGGACAGGGTGTCACGACCACGCTGCTGCTGCTGGCGCGAGCCACCACCGGAGCCACTCCTCTGCGAAGACCCGCGACCAGCACCACCGCCACCCCCGCCGCCTCCGACGCCTCCGCCGCCTCCGCTACTGCCGCCGCCTCCGCCTCCGCCGCCGCCTCCACCTCCGCCACCTCCACCACCTCCGCTCCCACCGCCACCGCCGCCTCCACCTCCACCTCCACTGCCGCCACCGACCCCTCCACCCCCACCTCCACTCCCACCGCCACCCCCACTCCCCCAACTGCCGCCACCTCCACCTCCACCGCCCCCGCTCGCTCCTCCAGCGCCCTTGCCCCCCTTGCCCTTGCCAGAGCGGCGTCTCCCGCTAGGGGCAGACGCCGCACCGACCGACTCAAGAACAAGGAGGTCGGCCGCAGCAGCAGAGGCAACAGAGGGCAGAAGGGGGGAGGGGGAACACCCCTCAAAGATGGGGGTGCGCGGGTCACCACGAGAGGCCCCTACAGCGACTATGCTCTTCTCGGCCGCTAGGAGGGACTTCTCGAGGAGGTCAACAGTGAGAGTGGTGGGACAGACAGAGAGAAAGTGGTCCCTGACTACGCGAAGGGAGTCAGGAAGGCGAGTGACTATGTAGTAAAGAGTGATGTACATGGGGGGGGGGTTCCTGGCGCAGAAGTCAGGAGGGAGTGCAGCGCGGGTAGCGAGTGTCACTAGTGCGGAGGTGCGTAATGAGGTCAGTGACTGTGGGAAAGGCAGTAAGATCAGGAAAGAGGTACGGTAGCATGAGACGGCTCAGTGCAGCAGTGGCAGGGGAGGAGTAGCGCGCAACTACAGCGTCGTACAAGGTCTGAGCACTCTTGTACTGACTAAAGTGCGCACGCTCGGAGGTAGGGAGGTGGCGACGCACAGCAAGACGTGCAGCAGCGTCGCGCGTGGCCCACTGGGAGCGAACAGTGGCGTCAGCATCAGCAGCAGGGGCAGTGGAGGTGCCAGAGGTGAGGTCAAAGAGAGAGAGGCCGTCTGCCCTATCGCACTGTAAGAACAGCTGCAGGTCATCTACCCAGACCTCAAAGTCAATGGCCCTACCCTCAGCGTCAAAGGCGAGAACACTAGGGGTAGCCATGACCCTAGACGACTAGTAGCGCAAACAGTGGGGTGAGGACAGTGCAGTGAAAAGGCGCTGTGCTCACCAGACTGGGCAGGTCGGGCGGCCCTGAAGGAGGGCGGCGCGGCGGCTCGGCGGCTCAGCTGCTGGGCGGCCCGGCGGCTCGGCGGCTCCGCTGCTGGGCGGCTCGGCTGCTGGGCGGCTCGGCTGCTGGGCGGCGCGGCCGCTGGGCGGCTCGGCTGCTGGGCGGCTCGGCTGCTGGGCAGCTCGGCTGCTGGGCGGCTCGGCGGCTCGGCTGCTGGGCGGCTCGGCTGTGCTGCTGCAGGGCACGGGACCGCAGGTAAGGGCGGCGGGGCCGCTGGTAAGGGCGGCGTGGCCGCGGGTAGGGTGGCGGGGCCGCAGATAGGGTGGCGGGGCCGCAGGTAAAGTGGCGGGGCCGCAGGTAAGGTGGCGGGGCCGCAGGTAAGGTGGCGGGGCCGCAGCAGAGGGCGGCGGGGCCGCAGGTAAGGGCGGGGCCGCAGGTAAGGTGGCGGGGCCGCGAGGAAGGGCGGCGGGGCCGCTAGGTAGGGCGGCGGGGCCGCGCAATGGGGCGGCGGGGCCGCGCGATGGGGTGGCGGGGCCGCGAGGAAGGGCGGCGGGGCCGCGCGATGGGGCGGCGGGGCCGCGCGATGGGGTGGCGGGGCCGCGAGGAAGGGCGGCGGGGCCGCGCGATGGGGCGGCGGGGCCGCGCGATGGGGCGGCGGGGCCGCGCGATGGGGCGGCGGGGCCGCTAGGTAGGGCGGCGGGGCCGCTAGATAGGGCGGCGGGGCCGCGCGATGGGGCGGCGGGGCCGCGAGGTAGGGCGGCGGGGCCGCGCAATGGGGCGGCGAGGCCGCGAGGTAGGGCGGCGGGGCCGCGGAGACGGGTGGCGGGGCCGCAGTGCAGGGCCGCTAGGGCGGCTCGACGAAGTGAGGGCCCGGAGCGCGACTCGGGCTGAGCGCGCTTCGGGCAGAGAAAAAAAAAAATCGATGTGGTGGGCCCTAAGCACAGTTCCCAACGGGGAACCTGCTCTATACCATGAGAAGATTTGAACAAGAATGAATGAACTATGAAATGAAGTGAGTACAAATATGAAACCCTAATTGGTTGTACCCCCTATGGGATACCCCACTATAGCCTACACAACAGCATAAGCTATAATGTTCTGACACAATGAGGTGACATGCACAATGAGGTGACATGCACAATGAGGTGACATGCACAATGAGGTGACGTGCACAATGAGGTGACGTGCACAATGAGGTGACGTGCACAATGAGGTGACATGCACAATGAGGTGACGTGCACAATGAGGTGACGTGCACAATGAGGTGACATGCACAATGAGGTGACATGCACAATGAGGTGACATGCACAATGAGGTGACATGCACAATGAGGTGACATGCACAATGAGGTGACATGCACAATGAGGTGACATGCACAATGAGGTGACGTGCACAATGAGGTGACGTGCACAATGAGGTGACGTGCACAATGAGGTGACGTGCACAATGAGGTGACATGCACAATGAGGTGACATGCACAATGAGGTGACATGCACAATGAGGTGACATGCACAATGAGGTGACATGCACAATGGGGTGACATGCACAATGAGGTGACATGCACAATGAGGTGACATGCACAATGAGGTGACATGCACAATGAGGTGACATGCACAATGAGGTGACATGCACAATGAGGTGACATGCACAATGAGGTGACATGCACAATGAGGTGACATGCACAATGAGGTGACATGCACAATGAGGTGACATGCACAATGAGGTGACATGCACAATGAGGTGACATGCACAATGATGTGACATGCACAATGAGGTGACATGCACAATGATGTGACATGCACAATGAGGTGACATGCACAATGAGGTGACGTGCACAATGAGGTGACATGCACAATGAGGTGACATGCACAATGAGGTGACATGCACAATGAGGTGATATGCGCATAGGAAAAGGGAGACAAAGCAGGAGGGGAGGCGAGGATGAGGGGAGGCGAGGATGAGAGAGTGAAGAACTGCCGCCACCACAGCGCCTCTCGCCATCCATTGCAGCACCCCTGCCGGACACAGCAAATCGACGCATCACCTCACCTCACATCACTGCTCACCCCGCTGCATCAGCTCGCACCACCTCACATGACCTCACATCGCCTCACCTCACATCACCTCACCTTGCATCACCGCACATCACCGCTCACCTCCACAGCATCCCTGGCCTGGCGTTTGGTCAGTCCCTGCTGCTGCATCAGCTCCAGCTGCCGCCACGCGAACCGCCGAGCCACTGGCGGGTCGAAGCCCTGCAGCCTGCCACAGCGGTGCGATGCGGTGACACGCGGTGACAAGGGTGACGTGGGGTGACGTGGGGTGAGATGGGGTGAGATGGGCTAACATGGTGGGGGTGATTGGGCGATGGGGTCAGTACAATGAGAGACAAGTCCCGGCAGCAAGGGAGGTGGCAGCGCCTCACCGGTATGCCTGCAGCTTGGCCTCAGGGTGTCTTGCGTAATACGACTCCACTAGAGGGTCCTCTGGGAACTCTATCCTCCGCGCCTTGGGGCAGCGCCGCGCCTTGGGCTGTGGAGGCACTCTGAGCAGGAGGAAGGGGGGAGGGGGAGAGGCGCGGGAAAGATGCGGAGTGGGAGAAGCGGAGGGAGAGTGAGAAGCGGAGGGAGGGGGAGAAGTGGAGGGGGAGGGAGGGGCAAAGGAAGGGGACTGGGGATGGGCGGGAGAAAGGGAAGCATGAGATGATCCTGAACGAGGTCCGGCGCTGGGCTGCACGGCACTGAACTGCACGGCACTGAACTGCACTGCACTGCACTGCACTGCACTGCACTGCACTGCACTGCACTGCACTGCACGGCCACCACGGCACATCACGGCCGCGGCGGCTAGCGCGCTGGCAGCTCATCATTCCACCGGCGAGCGCGGCTCGCCTGGCTACTGAGCGTCCTCCCCGTGTCCCCAAACGGTGACGGACCCGCAACTCCCCCCTCTTGCTCCGCGCCTCCCAGTCCCCCCACCTCAATTCCCTTCCCCCCATCCCCCCACCCCTCCTTTCCCCACTCCCCTCCCCATCCCCCCCTCCGCCAACACCCCATTCTCCCCCCCTCCCTCCCACGCACTTGGAGAGCGCGTCGAGCCACTTGGGCGGGTCGACCACGCCGCCGCGCATGAGCAGCCGCGCCTTCTGCAGCAGATCGCCGCGCATAAACGACATCGCGCCGCGCGCTTCTCGCGGCTGGGGCGGGGGAAGCCGGGAGAAGTCCGCGGAAGGCGAAGAATGGGCGAGGGGGAAGGAGCGCTGTTACGGGGCGATCGAGGCGGAGATCGAGACTCTGCTGGCGGAGCGCCGTGAGCGGGTGGGCGCGGAACGGAGGGGAATGAGCTGGAGGCGGGTGATTGCGCAGCGGTGTCGAGTGGTGCGGCGGTTTAGGGAATGGCGTGCAGGTGCGTAGCAGTCGGTTTGTCCACTCATGAGATCTGCGCACTGCTGGTAGAGTTCGTGCTGTCCTCGTTAGGATAAAATCGATGCTCTTTAGAGTTGAGGATTGCTCGTTACAGTTCAATTCAGTACAGCATAGCATAAACAATGAGATTTATTATCTAGCTTCAATACCCTGGCAACTCTTTAACATTTGTTGACTGAGTTTCAGGCAAACGGAAAATAAAACCTGACTATTGGAAACAAGTAACTTAACGCTTCTGATGTGTCGAAACATCGAACTGTAAACGAGGCAAATAGCAATGAAGCAGCGGCGAGTCAACCATCGGAGGTTGACAAACTGCTGGAGGTTACGTGAAGGTCAAAGGTCAGCGTCGCTGAAATGCCAGTGCTACATTTGTTTGTATCCTGTAGGCTCAGTGCAACATTTCGTAATAGGTGAAGTGTGGTAGCGAGTGAAACGACAATGCGTTACGCAATAAATCTTCTGCTCGATTCCTGCTGGCTCCTATGTTTGAGGTGCTCGCCCATAAATACTTTAGGCCCCGAAGCCCAGGAGATTTTTCGTACAGTACATCTCGCTTCAAAGCGAGATTCGACACTATCCTGACTCATCAGGGCTGAACCTACAGCCTTATCCTGAGTTTTCAGTACGCAAAATAACCGTTATACTGAAATTACAGGACAATTATTCCTGTTATGCTGTTTTTCCAGGACTAGCACACGACACCTATCCTGAATTCAGGAGAATCAGGATAAATTATCCTGATAATTGAGGCCCTGAGACCTTTGACTTGACAAATACAGCGCGACAGCAAGGACAAACAACTGACTCGATACTGAGCAGTTGCCCGAGTCGTCACTGTATCGAACCGCAACAGCAACAGTAAAACAATTATTAGTTGCACCCTTTCATATTCCTTGTAATCTTATAAAAGCTTGCATTACTTTTCTATAATCAATCTATCTTGCCTTCACACACTAGCGCAAGGTGGTTCAACACTTATCATTAAAAACGCTTCCGCACAGCACTTCTAGAGTTTAGCCTTGAAAAGATCCTAAGGGCTTTTCTCAGCCCAACATGGTACCGGTGTGAGAGCTGTCAAGGCAAATTCAACTGCATTCAAATCCCCTACAACATCAGAAAGCATGGCAACGCAGAAGGAGCGAAGCTCCTCCAACGGCTCTCCTGGCACTACTCCAAACCCACCTCCAGCCTCTGGCCTACAGACAGAAGGAGGAACAGCAACAAGACCAGCAGCTGAGTGTCAAAATATATGCATATTATTATCTAGGCTATATTGGGGCTAGCCTTAGGGGGTACAGAAACATTCTCGACACTCTAGTTTTGTACCCCAACCTTTACCTAATCACTCCTTCCCATGCCTATATTATAAGATGGTATCTAGAGCAATAGGTCTTTAGGACCTAAGATTAGGGCCCACCCGTTACCACGTTACCTTGCCTGCCTTGCCTGCTGCCCGCGCGCGCCTCGGCAGCACGCGCGCGGCCCCTTTTTTTTCCCACGCGCGCCGCTTAAGCAGCCCGCGCGCAGCCCGTTTAGGCCTGTTTTCGGCCCCGCGCACCACGTCAGCCGCCCGCGCAGCCTGCCGCCGGCCCGCGCGTCGCGTAAGCCGCCCGCGCGCAGCCCGCTTAGGCCCTGCGCGCCGCGTCCGCCGCCCGCGTAGCCCGTTTTCGGCCCCGCGCGCTACTTCAGCCGCCCGCGCAGCCTGCCGCCGGCCCCGCGCGTCGCCTCCTCCGGTGACGGCGCGCTGCCCCCCGTCGCCCGTCACGGCGCCTGTGGGACCCGCGCGCTTCCCTGCACCAGCTACGACGCCCCTGGAGCAGCCGCCCCTGGAGCAGCCGCCCCTGGACCCAGAGCAACCGCCCCTGGCCCCTGAAGCAGCCGCCCCTGGTGCAGCCGCCCCTGGACCCTCGAGCAGCCGCCCCTGGACCCAGAGGAGCCGCCCCTGGCCCCTGAAGCAGCCGCCCCTGGAGCAGCCGCCCCTGGACCCAGAGCAGCCGCCCCTGGCCCCTGAAGCAGCCGCCCCTGGACCCTCGAGCAGCCGCCCCTGGACCCAGAGCAGCCGCCCCTGGCCCCTGCAGCAGCCGCCCCTGGAGCAGCCGCCCCTGGACCCCGAGCAGCCGCCCCCTGAAGCAGCCGCCCCTGGACCCTCGATCAGCCGCCCCTGGACCCAGAGCAGCCGCCCCTGGCCCCTGAAGCAGCCGCCCCTGGTGCAGCCGCCCCTGGACCCTCGAGCAGCCGCCCCTGGACTCAGAGCAGCCGCCCCTGGCTCCTACAGCAGCCGCCCCTAGTGCAGCCGCCCTTGGACCCTCGAGCAGCCGCCCCTGGACCCAGAGCAGCCGCCCCTGGCCCCTGAAGCAACCGCCCCTGGTGCAGCCGCCCCTGGACTCCGTGCAGCCGCCCCTGGACCCCGTGCAGCCGCACGCCGAGCGCCGGCCCTGCTCGCCCGGCGAGCGCCTGCTCTTCCCGCCACTGGTGAGCACCTGCCTTGTTAGCGCGCTGCCGCGCCATCTGCCTGCCTGCCTGCCTGCCAGCCTGCCTGCCTGCCTGTCTGCCTGCCTGCCTGCCTACCTGCCGCGCCTGCCCTGCCCGCGCTGCTACTTCTGCTACTTCTGTTACTACTGCTAGGCTACTGCTACTACTACTGCTGCTACTGGCGGTGGCCAGATGCAGCTCCAACGACATCCACGTGAGTCTCTCCCGCCCCAGCAGCTTCGTGAGTGGTACGCTAGTTGGGGTTGTGGCGGTAGCCGTCGTCGCTGTCGCCCTGGAGCTAGTCAGTTGGGAGCGTCTGGCAGTGGCCAGCTGCAGCTGCAGCGGCGTCCACGCGAGACACTTACGTCCCAGCAGCTTCACGAGTGGTACGCTCAGAGTAGAGGGTCTTTGAGTACCGTTCGCTGCCCGTACGTCATTCGCACAGGTGATCGGGCTGGTCAGGCTTGCGGGACGCTTAGTCACACACAGTCCCGCTGCTTCGCCCGTCTGAGCGACGCCTGGTGTACCGAGTTTGGCGACGAGGCTGAGCTCCCCACCTGGCTGGAGCTGCTTAGGCAGAGGGTAGATATCTTTGCTCTTGATTATGATGCTATTCTCACTGCCATGTATGCATTGCCTACTAGTGCTGACCGTGCCTGCTACTTGTGCGTACCGCATGACCCAGGTATAGAGCCTGCTACTCTAGGTGCTGGTGAGGCTGCTGCCCTAGGTGCTGGTGAGGCTTCTGCTCCAGGTGCTGGTGAGTCTGTTCTCTCACGTACTGCGCCTGCTGAGGCCTTGTACACCTTCACACTTGACTCCGGTGCTTCTCGCTCCTTCTTTCGGCTGGATGCAGTCTCTCTGGCAGACCCCTCTGGGGGTCCAGTCCGTGCGACCTCCACCACTGTCCTCCCTTGTCCTGCTGTCCCGTCCGGCACCCTGTCGGGTCTTTACCTCCCCTCGTTCTCTACGAACTTGGTGGCGGGTTCTGCGCTCCAGGACGCGGGTGTTCACCAGTTCACCCCTGCCTACGAGCGTGTGACACACTGCACGTGTGCTCAGACGGGCCGTCACCTGGCTACCTTCACTCGGCAGCCGGGGTTGGGCCTGTACACACTGACCACTGAGTCCCCTCAAGTAGCTGCGTCTGCGTCTGCGTCAGGTCAGTTGTCGGCCCCTTGCTCGTGTCGCACCCTGTCGCACCGGACGATCCTTTGGCACCACCGCCTTGGTCACCCTTCGATGCAGCGCCTTCGTGGCATGCACTCCCGTTACCTTGTCTCTGGTCTTCCCAGGGTTCTCCCTCCCCTCCCACCCTCGCCTGCTCCTCCCTGTCTTCCCTATGTCGAGGGACGGCAGCGCGCCGCTCCTCACTCCTCCTCGTTCCCTCCCACAGAGGCTCCCCTGCAGGCTCTCCACCTGGACGTGTGGGGCCCAGCCCGCGTCCGTGGACAGGGCCACGAGCGGTACTTCCTGCTGGTCGTCGACGACTACACGCGTTACACCACGGTCTTCCCCTTGCAGCGCAAGGGGGAGGTCCCTGATGTTTTGATCCCCTGGATCCGCGCTGTTCGTCTCCAGCTCTGCGAGCGGTTCCAGTCGGACTTTCCTGTCCTGCGTCTGCACTCTGACAGAGGTGGTGAGTTCTCCTCAGACCTCTTGGCAGCCTTCTGTGCGGAGCACGGCATCCGCCAGACGTTCACGCTTCCGGCCTCTCCGCATCAGAATGGGGTTGCTGAGCGCCGCATTGGCATGGTCATGGAGGTTGCTCGTACCTCCATGATCCATGCGGCTGCCCCCCATTTTCTGTGGCCGTTTGCGGTCCGGTACGCCGTGCATCAGCTCAACCTCTGGCCCCGTGTCTCCTTGCCGGAGACCTCGCCCACACTGCTGTGGACGGGGAAGGTTGCCGATGCGTCGCGTTTCCGGGTCTGGGGTGCTCGTGCCTTTGTCCGCGATACCACCGCGGACAAGCTCTCCGCCCGCGCTGTTCCCTGTGTCTTCCTTGGCTTTGTCCCTGATGCGCCTAGTGTTACAATGTAATGAATTGATAGAAAATGTGAAGTACAACCCTAGATATAGCAAACCCTAATCATGCAAGGAAGTAGAAATGTAACACCTAGACTAACCTAAACAACACATATAAATAATATGTTGACACTTGGTTGGCAGTAGTACCACCCCACCTCGCGCCGTGTCTTCCCCTCTCAGGACGTAGCGTTCGACGTGTCGGTTCCCTTTTACCGTCTCTTCCCCTACCGCACTGCCCCTCTCC